TCGTCAGGTGGTGCTGGCGATTGCAGTGGTGTCGCAGCAGCGGTAAGGTGGTGGTGATGCAGCAGTAGCAGCAGCAGCAGCAGCAGCAGCAGCAGCAGCAGCAGCAGCAGCAGCAGCTGTCAGCAGCAAGAGTAGTGAGGTCGACAGTAATAAGCACAATACTAGTAAGCATTATAACAATAACCACAATAGTACAATGACGATCGTGAAAACAATTCCGTTAGAGTCATTAGAGATTAACTACTGTCTTCGCTCTGATGCCCGCCTTGCCTGGGGCTTATTGCTGTCCTTGGCCACGAGTGAGACCTCGATCATGCCAGCACTTGTGGGAATGCACTTAAAGTTGTAGATGTCCGTGTGGTGATGAGCCCACTTACCGACGAAGTCCTCTTTGACAGTCTTCCCATTGATCACAATGTCCCACTTCTTGCCACCCCTGTCTTTCGTTTCACAGAACGTGTACTTGACGGTATAGAAACTCACCGGAGCATCGGGTGCCTGGAGGTTTACCCGAAAAGTCTGATTCTTCCAAGTGTTCTCTCTGCTGTAGTGGTGCAACAGAGCATCGTAGTCTTGGTCGTAGCTTGGAGGCCAATTGCGGCATGTGTGCTTGCCCAGGGTCTCGTTGCCATCGATCCAGTTGGCTCGAAACCATGCTTTGGGCTTCGCGCCAATGTAGCCACCCCAGGTGTGTGCGCTGTAAGGGGTCTCAGAATTGTACCACAACCGTCCTAGGCTGTCGTTGTAATTCCCCGTGTACCCGCCGTTGATGCCCAGCCAAGCCTGACCTGGACCTTGAGGGCTCTGGTTTGTAACTATTTTGGACCAGGCCCCGGGAAGGGAAAGGCATCCGAAAATCAATGCAGCGCACGCCCTCTGGGCCATCACCTGCGCTGTGCCACAATCCCTGAGCTCGCAGCTCCTAACCACAGAAACTGCTACAAGTTCTGCTCCTGCTCATCTTAGTGCTGTCGCAGCAGCTACAGCTGCCGGCTGCTACTACGACTACTGCGACGACGACGACTACTACTACTACTACTACTGCTGCTACTACTAATACTACTGCTACTGCTGCTGCTGCTACTACTGCTACTGCTACTACGACTACGACTACGGCTGCAATCGCAAAGTTGCCCACCAAGGACTGATGCACGAACCGCGTAGCTCGTGGCACAGGGTTATATGCACGGTGTAGAAAATACACTAGGGTTTGTGGGCTTCTCCCGTATGCGACCATGTATTATGCATTTACTACTATGTACTGGTATATACATTCCGCGGTATTGCTTTCTAAGACTTTACAGCCTTGCATTCTATATTTGAGGAACCTTACCCTTGATCTGGGAGTTTAGGATTTGGTGCCACGGGGCTTGGGGGTTTGCAGCTTTAGATATGAACCAGGCCGTGAATGTTTAACCTTAAACCGTAGTTGGGTTTCATTCGGGCTGCAGGGTTTAGGGCTCAACATGTGAAATAATTCAGAGTTTAGCGTTACTGACATAAAGAGACGGCGAGATGGAGCCTTAGTGCATCAGTGCATACCCTGTTGAATTCAATAGGCCTATTGAACCCAATAAGGCTGCCGGATTGAAGATTGAAAATCTCACCAAAAACTTGCTCAGAGCATCTTGAATCGTCTATCTATATTTTATGCTGCATAATAAATTATATAATATATAATATATGATAGGTTATATACTTTTCATCATATAAAGTGTATTACATATAATATACTATATTTAATGTACCATACAATAAGCATTATATGTATATTTGTTTATTTATTTACATATTATACATGACATATGCTTCATATGCATGATATAATCTGTTATATATCTTGAAACTTAAGAAAATAGACGCTATATACTATATACATTTCATATCATAAAGATTATATACATTATATAGAATATATTTTACGTATTACTTTGGTCTTGATCACACAACATAACCTCCAGTTGCTCATGTATTTCTGGACCTTTCAGACTTTCCAGACATGTCAGATAAATCAGATTTTCTAACCATTTCAAGTCGTTTAAAACTTGGAAATGTCTGAAATATCTGAAGACTCTGAAATGTTTGAAAGCATTGACCGACTGGGCTGTCTTGGCTGGGCTACACTCAGCTGGGCCAGACATTTCCGATGTTTGAGACTTCCCAGACATTTCAGATTTGCCATACATTTCACATTTTCTATGTCTCGGAAGTGTCGGAAATGCATGAAAATTCCAAAATGCTTAAATTTTAATCCTGAAAATCTGAGATGTTTGAAAGTATTGACAATCTTCCTTGGGCTACGCCGGGCTGGGCCAGACGTTTCAGATATTTCAGATTTTCCAGACATTCCAGATCGCTTGAAAAAATTGAAATATCTGAAGATTTTGAAAGTATTGACCACCTGAGCTGTCTTGGCTGTGCTGGCCTGGGCTCAGCCAGACATTCTAGATGGTTTGACCATTGGAAATGCTTGAAACATCTGGGTAGTCTCATGTGTTTGGAATCTCGATTCTGTTCTGTGTGCAATGTACATATGTTCACTGCTTACGAAAGGAGATGCAGAGCACGTTGCAAGCACACGCCCTCTTCTTTTGTCTCTTGGGGTTGCGACTATGCCAGCTACTGCTGGAACCTGCAGTGGCAAGGGGGCCTGCGTCCTGCGGCCTGAGCTCCCTTGGTCCCTGCAGCAACTGTAACCTGGAAACTGCACAAAGCTCCAGGCAACCTGCGCGGCTGGACAAATGCCCCAACTAAAGACGGGCCTGTGTCACATGGTGACAAACATGACACAGGCGAGTGCTGGAGCATACGGGCGTCTTGGAGGCACTGTATTTGCCTAAAGACGACCTGCCACACAAAAAGCGTACTGTATCACCTGGCAGCAAGTGTGTGATGCCGCTTCCTGAATGCGTCAAGAAGCTGTACAGTCCACATTCTATGAGCAAACTCAAAGAGTGACTGGCTTGCTGTACACAGACCTGGTCCTCCTCGGACTCACTGCTGGCAGCCGTGACGCTGCTGCTTGAGCTGGAGCTGTTCTCGCCCTGTTCGCCCTGTGAGTGCGTCACCTCCTGGGCGTCCCGCGACGCTGAGAGCAGCTGCGTCAGGGTCTGAGACGTCCATCGGCCGCTGCGAGTCTCATCGGGCTGGAAACGACCCTGACGGATGTGCTCCAAAACCTTTGTAAAGTCCCTGAGGGGTCCACTAAGCGCATCACGACTGTAGACGAGACTGCTCCTGCTCAAACCCAGGCTGTGGTAGCCTAACAACGTCTGGCTGTCCTGTGCTGTACCTGCTTTAGCCGTCCAGCTCAGGGGCGTACTCTTCAGGCTGTGCGACCTGACACGAAGCACCTGTTCCTGGCTGGCTCCAGGCTGCCTGTACAGGAGTGCTCGAAGCCACCTGGTGGTTTCAGTGCTGCTCAGCCCTGAGGGAAGCAGCTGTCCTGTGGAACTAATTGCTGGAATCAAGGGAGAATCCTCGAGCGATCCTGCCGTTGCCAGGCCAAAGGCTTGGCCCAACTTTCTTTCCTGAGTCCCTGGACTGGAGCTACCAAAGGCAAGAGTCGATTGCCTTTGTTGGAAGCTTTTGCCTGTTTGGGGTTCAGAACCTGACACTCAACAAAGCCAGCTTGACAGTCTGAGCTCCAGTCAAACTGAATATCCTGGCTCCTCAGAAGCTCACTGTTGCGTGCTCTGGCGAACAACGCGAAGCAAAGGCCTGCCGCTACGAGGGTCTCGTATTGATCAGGCGGCCCTGCTGCCAACTGCTCTAACCAGCATACCTGAGATGCGGTCAGAGGCTCTGCTCGCCTGACTGGCTTCCGCTGCTTCAACTGCAAGTGAGCCAAGCCTACGACTCGAGCAGACTTGAGAGTTGAAAGGTTGACACTAAGGCCGCAAGTGCCCCAACAGAAGCCCAAAGCTCCTACTAGACTGTCTGCTGCAGAGGCTGATTCCTGTTTGCCCTGTAGCTCCTGAAGGTACAGGTACACCAGGGGCTCACTCTGAGGCTCCTGGGGGAACCTGTGCACCCACCACACAAGGAACTGCTTGAGGCCTGATGCCCTTGTCAGCAAAGTGTTCGTGCTCTTCTTGCTGAAAACTATGTCCAAGTTGGACAGCTCAGTCTTGACGTTCGGAGACTGGAGCGGAGCTGCTGACTGGCCAAAGAAAGCTGGTGCCAGACTGAGTAGCGCGCTCCACTTGCTCAGGGCTGCTGTCCTGCTGCGCTGAGCCTGATCTACCTGCCAGGCTGTGTGCGCGGGCCTCGCTGCGGGAGGATTGAGGCGGGCTGCCGTAGTGCCAGCACTAGACGCCACAGCTGGTCTAGGTGGCAAGTCAACCGCTGCTGGAAGAGCCGTGAGCTCGTCCCAGGCATCCTGCAAGCTGTCCTGTTTGGAACTGAAGATTTCCGAGAAAGGTCCTGTCTCCCAGGGAAGCCTGAGGGAAGCACTGCGAGCCCTCACTGGGCCAAAGCCCAAGCCTTCGTTCCAGAAGGGATCCTCGTGCTTGCGAGTCATAGGGTGGAGAGGGTGGGATGAAAATTGTGCTGGCTAGAGCCAAAATGGCCCGCAGTGTTACATATAGACTCGTGCCCGCACAGTGTACATATGTTCACCGCTTACGAAAGGAGATGCAGAGCACGTTGCAAGCACACGCCTTCTTCTTTTGTCTCTTGGGGTTGCGACTATGCCAGCTACTGCTGGAACCTGCAGTGGCAAGGGGGCCTGCGTCCTGCGGCCTGAGCTCCCTTGGTCCCTGCAGCAACTGTAACCTGGAAACTGCACAAAGCTCCAGGCAACCTGCGCGGCTGGACAAATGCCCCATGAACTAAAGTCCAGCGCGGCTCCGAGACAACCCCAAGCGATTCTAAGCGGAGACCGCTGGTACTGTCTCCCTGGAGAGGTCTACGAGGGACAGTTGCAGAAGCAGGTCGTCAGAGACCTGGTCACACCTAGAAGACCTGAGAAAGTCAGGCTGCTGGCCCCTGCGGGGGCATCAGCAGGGTTGGAGGCGTTCGGACGCGCTCTACCCACAGTCCTAGCTCAAGCACAGATTCCTGCTGCAGGAAGTTCGCCATAAGCAAGGCGTTGCTAGCGGGGTAGGCCGAACCTTTGATGATGCAGTTTTTAACGCCTTCATTATCAATGAAAAGAGTGCACAGACTTCTGTGCAAAGTCTGAGGCCACAGGTGCAAGGCCGCCAAGGCTGCCAGCAGCTCAGCCTGAAAGACTGGATGCTCTGAGTCGGTCTGTAGCCACGCTTGAGTGACGACCTGAGGTACCTGTCGACCAAAGTGTGCTATGGGGTAACCTTCATGCGAGCAAAGAACGCCCCCAATGGATGCAACTCCTGACTCGACCGCACCGTCTGTGAAGAGCAGGTATCCCTGATGAGGCGAAGTGCTGTGCGCCCTACCAGGCGCATCAGGCACGTGGTTGAGGATCCACGTCAACTATCACCATGCCCTGGGGGGACCTCGTGAAGTCGATGCACACCCCCAGGGCCTGCAAGACCTGAGAGAAGGGCGGCCTTCTGTCCCTCAGTGGCGAGCTTCCAGCCAGTTAACTGAAAGAACAGAAAAATGGCTGCCTGTATTGAGCGGCAGTCCTGTTCCAGGGTGACTGCGTTAAAGTCGTCGTAATACGACGTCCAGGGGGCGCGTAGCCACTGAACACCTATCTGCCACAGCGCCAAGGCAAGCCTGATGAAGGACCATACTGAAGCTGAGGCACCAAAAGGAAGAGCTGTCATTAGCAGTACGCATGCCCTTTGAAGCTCTGGATTGTAAACTGCGACCTGGGAAACATCCAGGTCGTCCTGATGCACGGGCAGCTGCCTGTATGCCGACTTAAGATCAAAACTGCGGCCCTGAAGGATGGGACGGTCGGTCTGCGCACAAAAAGCAAGCGCAAGGCTGATGCTGTCATCAACAGTCATTACCCTGATACGTTCCTGAACCCCTACGGTGGAATTCACCAGACTGATGCTAAAGTCGTCTATTGCGCGCACCTTGGCACCCAGCTGAATGCCAAATCTCCTACTGAGGGCTCCTGTGGCTGGGGCAGCTGCCAGGTCACTGATGACCGCCCAGCCTGACGCAACGTCCTTCTGAGTCTGGTCCCAGAGGGCGGCATCCATCTCTGGATTGCCGGAGGGACCAACCGACGCCCAAATCTCCTGGTTGCGCTGGCGCGCCTGAGAAAGAAGATCCTGCTTTGACAGGCAGGGAGGAGAGGTGCGAGCGGGCATGTGCCCGCTACAAGGCAGCCAACCTGTCAAACGAAAACCCTGCCTGATGTCTGACACCAGATCCGTGTCAGGAAAGTCGGAGGCCCTAAGGACTTCCTCTAACAACGGCAGGCGCTTGCCCGCCAGGATTGACCTGACATGAGCAGGCATGGCAGCGTGGTCGGCTGCTTCGTCCTGGGAAAGTTCCCTAGCCCTCTGCAACAAGCTACGCAAGAACTGACAGCGGGTCCTGTGCACCTGCGGGAGCTTGTGACAAATGTCACGCACAACATCTTGCAGCTGAGAGTTCAGGGGGGGTGGCTTGGACCTGGGGTGTTCAAACTGCTTGCACCTATGCATGAGCTCTGAGGGAGAGCACTGAGTGGCAACGAGGGCATGCCAACTGTCGTCCTCGTAGACCACCTGCAGGCAGTGGTCCCGCTTGTCACCTGTGAGTGCCTCTGCTGATTTTCCTGGAACAAGCTGAGACAAATCTCAGTGCGGGGGCACAACGTGCCACCTGATGTCCCCGAAAGGCGTCACTGCTGGAAGGCAGTGAGACGCTTTAGGCAGGAAGCCCAGGCTCGACCTCAAGCTTGCCCTATGGGTGGCGTCGGCTCGACGCCCTGATGTTGGGACGGCCTGGTGTCCTTGGTCAAGGGCCTGCAAGTAGCATGCGTGAGCCCACTGAACGCACAAGGCTCTGGGATACGCTGTCTCCTCAGATGTGGCAAAAGAACCTGAGGATGTCAGACCCCAGGGCTCATGCTTGTGTCCTAACTCAGGTCTGCAGGTCATGCTCAACTGCCTCAGCCTGGCCATGTTGGTCCACAGCACTGTGGACTTCTTCCTGGAACTGCCAAAACAACAATGATGAAACCTAATGAAGAAAATTTGTAAGCGATGCTTGCTGAAAACCTGCCGCATCCACCGGACGTTCCAAAAATGGGAGGCCTCCGGGTTTTCTACAGACCAAAAGACGCCTGCGTCCTGGCAGAGCATAATCAGCTCAGCTGTGAGCTGATATAGCCTGTTGGCCTGTTACGATCCGCAAAACCTAGACAGGGAAGGGTGTCGGGATGATCGAAGCTGCGTAACGGCTGTGGTCCTGAGCGCCCTGGGAGCCTGATACTGCGAGCCTGACTAGAAGTGCTACAAGGTGCATCCAGATTGAATGTCTTCAATGGGCAGGGGGGGCGGTGACAACTCGCAGGCGAGTTCAGGGGGGTTACTTTGCACAGAAGGAGAGTCCTGAAGACAAGCTAGGGTCCCTAGTCAACCCTCGCACGCACTGGCAGAGCGCGTCCCCCCGCACCTCATACAGAGGTGCGTCACCCCTGCTATATATACTGGAACCCCATCAGGGTTGTTCTTGCACTCCTCACTGCACCCATGCGCCAAATTGTAGCTGAAGCAAAGCCTGAGCTTGCCCTTGTAGCCGCTGAGGCCCTTCAGCTCAGCTGGGACGTTCCTGCCGCTACTGGAGCCAGCCTGCTTGCCCTGCCCTTTGCCTGGCCTGGCGGCCTTGCCTTTCCTGTCACCCTTGCCCTGTGCTTTGCCAGTCTTGCCGCCTGGGCTGCTGAAGGCTTCCTCCCAAGGGCGCTTGGTGGGCTGAGGCGGGGCCTTGGGGAGCGGTAGCAGATGAAACACAACTGAGGCAACAGATGCACCTTCCCTAAGAGCCTGACCAACTTTACTGCTACCACCAGGAGCTGCAAAAAGGTGACCGACCGAAGTGGAGACATGCCGCCAGAGCTCACGATCTGCCCGCAGAAACTGATCGATCCCTGGGGCCTGAAAACCTGGAGGCGCCTGAGTGTGCAGCTTGTCAAACATGCTGCGCATGACCTGCTCATGCACGTCGTAAGAGGCGACCCCAGCTACTCGAGGGCCAAGCCTCTCCTACCAATTGCCTGATACAACCTGAGATCCGTGCTAAGATCAACACGGGTGCCCTGAGACTTGGCTGAGACCTTCAACGTGCTGTTCTCGATCCTGAGAAGCTGGTCGTCATGCTTCTGGCTGGCGACTTCACTGTCCCGCGAACAACATTTGCTCGGCGGCAAATAGCGGATCACCTGGTCACGAATCATGCTGCTGGCCAGGTCAATCAGATGATAACTTGGTTCGAGTTGTCCGCCCACTGGCCAAGAGCCTAGTTTGTCCTTGACAGCCTGAACACGAGAGGTTCTCTCTTCTGGTGACAGCTTCTGGGGCTGATCCTCTGTGTTGTCCACACTGGACTTCAATCCTGCAATCACGTATGTACCTGCTTCGAACAAAAGGCGACTGATTACAGCAGGCGTGGAGCCTGCCTGGTGATCGATCCTGAGGCAGCTTGCCAATCAGCCCCTGCAACTTGTCCTTATCCACCTGTTCTGGTGCTGAAGCGACTGAGAAAAGCAGTCGACTGTACGAGGAGGCGCCCTCGGCTGCAAGGCTGAGACCACCTCAGGAGCGAGGCCATAGGCCTTGCACTTGGCCTCAAAAGTGGCCTCACTGTCAGCCAGCGAAGCCATGAGCCTGCTGGGCGAGGGCACCCTTCTGTTGCCAACGCAGCGCAGCTGCCAACCGAAGGCCTGGTCGGAGTCAGAGAGCGGCTCTTGGTGCAAGTGCCACAGCTGAGCTGCCTGCAGCGGCCAGCAAAAGCCTGCCGCGCAAGCGCCGACTGCCAAAAAGAAGGGGGCTAAGTGCCCCAAGCCTGCTGCCCAAGTCAGGCGGCCGCCAGACAGCAGAAAAGCCTGCACAAGCAAGGCAAGCTGGCAGAGCAGGGGCACAAGCCACCTGCCTGAAGAAAGCCTGTGTCACCTAGACGGACACGAAGAGGGCGCAGCCTGACGCACAAGCTGTCAATGGCTGCTGCCCCCAGTGGCCTGCTGCCTTTGCCAAGTGAGCAAGGCACCGGTCTGGAGGGACCTCGCGCACAAGCGCAGAGGCCAAGTCCAACTGAAGACTGCTGTGCTGAGCTCCCGACGTACAGGACGAGTCCTGAAATGCCCACTCTAACTGGAGCCAGAAGCTGAGAATCCTGGCGACCTACAAGAAAAAGTCCCTAGTGCACCTGCAAACGACTACAGGAGACAGTCCTCACTGCACCTGCAAAAAAGCAAACTGAAACTGAGGCGGTCTGCTTTTAACCTGGATTCCTGAGTCAAGCTGCTGACCCAACGTGCAAAAAGGCTTCCCTAGGGTCCTGACAGCGCTTACGGCTGTGGCGGACCTGTGACGCCCTGAGACAGGCGGGGGAAACTGGGTCTCCTGCAGGGCGCTACTGGACTGTCTGCCACTCCTGACGACACCTGAGTTGCGGTGAGCTGCGACTGAGCTGTGTCCTGAGTACCTAAGTTCCTCAGTCGTCGCTGTGGCAGACGGGGCAGGTGTGACTGTCATGTGCCCCTCTTGCCTGTACAGTAACAGGCCTGGAGCACGACCAACCGCACTGATTTTCACAATGCAGCAGGCAATACCCTGAAAGCTGGAACTGACGCTCCCTGAGTGACCTACTGAGCTGCCTGTCGCGTCGTGTCCTGAGTGGCCTGAAAGTGCTTAAGCCAAGAACAGGCGGCAGAACACCTGAAATGCCTACACTACTAAGCCTGGCAAACGGCATGCCCTGAAAGAACGAAACATGTTCCATAGCAGGGGGCGGAAGCTGACTAAGGTCAGGCATCAGCGTGTTCACATCCGCCGGCCTGTCCGGGCGGCGGCTGAGACTACCTGGAGGTCCTGAGATCGGGTCGTAGCCCGGAGTGCCTGGTTGCTGTCCTGCTGCGATCAGACGAGCGCGTCGACGTGCTTCTGCGGAGAGGCCTGTCGCGGACTGCGAATCTGCGAGCTGTCCTGGGCGCCAGTTTGACCAAGGGTTGCCGTCCTCTGTCTCCTGGCCCCGTTCCGCTGGCGGGTCAACATGCTGGCCTGTTTCAACACTGTCGGCCAGGTCCACCCAGGAAGAGCGCTGACCTTTGTCTACAGCTTGGTCCTGAGAGAAGTCCTGCTGCCCGCCCTGCTGTCCTGAACGACTGCCAGTGTTGCCTGCAGAAGAGGCTTGTGGCACCTTGGCAGGAGGCTCCTTCTGCGGAGGTGCTGCTGGTCCAACTGCTGCACTTCCTCTGGCTTGCCCGGGGCTGGAGCACCGGGGGCCTTAACTGCTGGCGGCCTGTCTCCCAACTTGGAGGAGGGAGCAACTGCCGGCGTCCCCTTAGCAGCAGGAGGAGGCGCCACTGTCGGCTGTTTGGCCGGTGGTGCGCCGGTGACTGGGCACGCCTTCACCGGAGGTGGAGGTGTTGCTGTAGCCGCCTGCTGTCCTGCAACACCTGCACTGATTGCTGAAGCCGGTTCACAAGCACTCATTGCGGGTCCTGCCACGCCAGCACATGCACTGACCTGTCCTGGAGAACCTGCAGAGCCAACCGCTTCCTGCCCTGTCTCGGCCAGTGGTTGAAGGCCTGTGTCCACCAAACCAGAGGCAGAGGGCCTTTCCTGAAAGGCCAGGGCCAAAACTGCCAAGTCCTTAAGCCTCCTGACTTCATGAGGTAGGAGACCTGTCAGACCTTCAACAACGCAGTCGGGGTCGGCTCTGACCAAGTTGCGTGCGGCGGTTTGTGCCAGGAGGGCACCTGTGTCCCAGCTCATGGCTGGAGACTACTGCCGTCAATGAAACTTGTGCTGGCTAGAGCCAAAATGGCACGCAGTGTTACATATAGACTCGTGCCCGCACAGTGTACATAATCGAGACATGACCTGGATCACAGGAGGGCCTGATAACCACTGCTGCTGCTGCTGCTGCTACTACTATTACTACTACTACTACTACTACTACTACTACTACTACTTTACTACTCCTGCTGCTGCTGCTCCCGCTCCCTACTACTACTACTACTACTACTACTACTACTCTACCACTACTACTACAATTACCACTACCACTACCACCACGACTACTACAACTACTAACTACCATTGCGACGACGACGGCTACTACGAGCATCACCACATGTACTACTACTCCTACGTGTTCACAACATGTACTACGACTCCTACGTGTACTTACTGCAGCCATGGCCAGTGCTGCTACCACCGCTACTGCTACCACCCCCACTACCACCACTAGTAGTACTGCTGCGATCGCTGCTGCTTCAGGTGACTGGAGCTGGCCAGTTGGATGCTTGGGCCACAACTTGTGTGTTGAATCAGCTCACCCATGACCCTGCAAAGCGTGCTGCAACGAAGGGATGTACTTGAATCTACTTAGCCACTCCCCGAATGTGTAGGCAGGAAGTCTGCAAATCGACACGTGCTGGAATGTCCTCCCAGTCCGCTGTCTAACCCAGGAGGTTTTCTACTAATCCCGATCGAGTCTGTACTGCCATAGGTGGGACCCCGTCTCAGTTGCGCCATATCGCCAGCGCCAATTAATTACCACGGCAAAACATAGCAAAGCTTTTCCGGAAGTCCTCAGGCAACTCAAGTGAGATCAGCCGCGGGGATGCATTTAGATCCAGTGGAATTTGCGATCAACAACACACTTCGCTTTCATTCTCTATGTTGATTGCTTCCAGTTTGCCAGGTGCAATGACTGGAAATGCCCAACATAGATAGCATTCTCACGGTCACCATCCGACGCTGCACGATACCGCCCTCTGGCATAACTTCACAGACTTTCGGCACCCGGCTCAATTTTGTTCCCTTGACTGGAAGTTGGCTGTGTTGACATGGTCGGTCACACACTGTAGCATGAAAGGACGCGGAAGAGAACGTGTTGCGGCCCTTCGAGTAGAGGCTTCGGAGTTGGATTGTAAACACGCACTTGCCCGGTGGTGTTGTCATAAGTCATGAATGCTCTGCTGGAAAATGTTCCACATTAATGCCCGCAAGCTTCCAACAAGCACGAGTCTATATGCCGATGGTACATCGCTCACTACTCCTGTCGGCCATACGGCCACATGGCTCCGACCCTCTTCGTACCAATGCTGGTCGCCGAAACTACCGTAAGCTTCTCTCGCCTCTCAACCGCGCGGGCATCAAAACGATATCTCAAACAAAGCGTCAGTGTCCGAATGTCGGACAGTAGTGCAAATGTTTGGCCAGTTTGTCTACCGCACTCTCGACAGACATATGCCCTTCGAAATCCGAAGCGACCCCAGCAAGTGTAACAGCGAAGGGCGAAGAGAAGCAACCACTGGAGGAACCAAACGATTCGACGGCCAAGTCAACTTTCGCTGCAGCCTTCCTCATCGCAAGATCGTGAACATGTTTTTGTTCCCTGAGCTTCCGGACATGTTGATTCACCTTCATGGCATAAAGCTGCTGCCAGCAGTGGCGCCTCTTTTAACACTTGCGTGACGTGCTGCCGGTGCTCACTCTTCTGCGTCATCTGACGAGAACTGTGGCTCGTCATTGAAGCGTCGGTGGCCCCGAGCACCTCCGCAGGCGCTTTCACACTTGATCTCTGTCAGTATCAGCCATAGTATCAGCCGCAATTCCAGCACCAGTCTTAGCACAGTCATTAGTGCCACTGCTAATGTCACGGCCCTTCTGCTTCTGGTACTTAGCACCTTTGCGACGAAGGTAGCAATACAAGCAGGCCGCAACCACAGGGACCAGCAGCCCAGCCGCCCATCCGAGAAGCCTCGTGCGACGAAACATGCAACCAGCGAGCACTTCTTCGTGCAGTATGTTGCAGATCACAAAACCACAGAGTGTAGGCACTTCGCGCATGTATCCATCATACACCAAGACTCAAGAGCCAGCCACTTACCTTTTATATATGCCAAACCTGCACAGAATGCTTTCGTCGAGCCTTGCTGCTGCACATGCTTTCCCCACTCTTGCCCCTTTGCAGCCACGATGCTGCTGGCCCGAGTTGCTTGAAGACTGATTTGATGCGTCCTGAACCATATCTGGTCCTCGGCAAAGCTTTTCACTTAGTGGTTGAATCTGCATTTTGAAGGCCTGAGACAAGCACCAAATCTCGCCTTCGCTGCACCTGTGACAATTGAGCGGGCGAGCCATCCCCCAAGGCACTACATAGGAACTTCAGCCGCGCCTTTTGCTGGCTGATTCTTCTGCCCTGGGGCAACCGCAGATACTGCCAGGGATTCAGCCTCAGCTCTCTTGTATTGATGAATCGTTTACAGGCATGTAATTTTCTCAAGCCTTTGAGCGTGGGCACGACCCTGAAGCTTTCGTGGTTCAGTCAAACTTGTCAAGTGATCATCATTGAGGGTGACCATTGATTGCTGCAGGGTGAGGCGGGTGGAGGCCGGGGCACGAAAACTGCGAAAAACAAAAAACACGATAATCTTACTATTACATTGAATTTACACCATTTACCATTACTATTACTACTACTATTATTATTATTACTATGTACTAATTTAGCATGAGTATTCATATTACTATTGCCTATTACTATTGCCATTACTAGCTGGTACAAGCATTCATACCAATTCGCGTTTTTTGGTTTCTTGCGTTGTTCGCATGTTTCGCCTGTTTAAGTTCTGGTCCGAGTATTATAGGACTTATAGGCATTACTATTACTATTACTAGGCTCCATTACCCTTGTTTGCCCGCTTTCTTTGTCGCTCAGGTCTGCATCGTGCCATGTCCATGCTGCCAACCCATCCGTCGGCCAGTGCATCCATGCCCCAACCATGTTACCAACCCATCCATTGGCCATTGCATCCATGCCCACACCATGAAAAATTCAATGCTGCCAACCCATCCATCGGCCAGTGCATCCATGCCCAAACTGTTTATCAACACATGTTTCCGCACAGAAACATCGTTTATGTTTTAGGTTTGCTGCGCATCTCGTCATAAAGTAACACCATGTTGAGCAATGCTAACATGCGAAATTATCGGCCCTGCCATGCTTTTCCAGTATTGTTCGAAGCCAGGGTGAAAGAACACATTGTGCAGAACCTGGCCTTCAGCCTCCATCCCGCCCTCCGCTGCACCTCCCTGTCAAAATCAAGAAACTCGGCCGCACAGAAACATCGAGCTGTTTTTGCGTTTTTTGCTCCGCGTATCATCATGGCGGGGGCGCCATGTTCAACCACGCTAACATGCGAAGGTATGGGTTACTAATGCTCGTGCTAGTACTAATACTAGTACTATGACGAGTAGTATTGCTATTACTATTTCTATTGCTAGTACCATTACTGCCACTACTACTACTACTACTACTACTACTACTACTACTACTGCAACTACTGCTCCTGCTGCTGCTGCTACTACTACTACTGCTACTACTACTAGTACTATTACTATTCGCTTTGAGCATTTGTTGCGTTTTTCGTGTCCACCTCTGCGCCTCCGTGTAGCTGAGACACACGCACACAAAGCGTGATAACAGTGAACGCCTGCCTGCATGGAAGTCGTACTGGTAGCCAAAATCAACCCAGGTATTTCTGGATTTTTCTTGTCTTCGTTCGTGGCTGACAACACCCAGGGTGTGAATATACTTGGCCGACGAATCCGAACACAGAGCAGGCAAATCCTGCTTAGTGCAGCCTCTTGACAAAGTTAATGCCGAATCAACGCACAGAGAAACAGGACAACATTGTAGATGGCTAGCCGGGCAGCCTGCTGCAGTGACAGACCACTGCCCAATCCTGCTTCTAGCGCTGCAGCTTGCGCGGCGTAAGCCGCCTGCTGCCTGGGATTTCACACATGCGCTGATCAAACCGCTGCCAAGTCGTGCGAAGTCTGCACTGCTGTCACGCAAACTAAGGCTCTGCCAATCCGGCACCACCGTAGCAGTTCCAAGCACGATACAAAACGATTAGAAACAGTCGCCGAGATGCTCCGTCAGAAAAATCAGCTTGGCTGCCTGAGGTTGCGGCACGAGCCCGGCAGAGTCCCAAACCAGTGATTCAAGCAGTCCTGGGCCTTGGCTGCAGCTCTTGCAGCAGACTTTGCAGCTGCGTGTGCCTGTCAAACTAGCTGGATCGGCACCCTCTGCCAGCTCAACAAAACCAGAATTTGCCCGAGATCACGGGTCCTCTTGGCAAAGGGCATGGTTGGGCTATGCAGCCATGCATGGTGCAGGCTTTTCCGATACCATCGAACCGGGCTGGAGACCTACTAGCAAACTGCCGTGCCTGCTCGTCCCGCGGCATGCCTGCCGATTTCTCTTGCTTCCTGACCTTTGCCATCCGGGAACTGCAGAATAACACTTTGACACACACGACATCACACGACCACAGAATACCGTCGGCACGGCTGACAACTCCGCATCAAACACCGATGTTTCAGTTGCCACAGCTAGGGAAGGCCATTCACCGATGCCAAGGCCAGGGGACAGGGGCTGTTGGACAAAGACAACTGGCTGCGACACCTGCGTAGTTCGTTGGCAACCAAAACTTCAAGCCACAGCTGTGCTCGAGTGCGGCTGTCCTCAGCAAATGTTGGGCAACGTGAACCAGAATCAGCCTCAACTTTCGTCGCGGCATTGCAGCAATGCAGCGGGGGCAAACGTTTTGGCAACTCTACGACGACTTTGTTGAAGCAGGCAGCCCCGGCAAAGAGGTCTTGAAGAAAAGCGAATCGACTCAATTTCAAAGCACTCCGCACGCGCAAGTAAACAACTCCCATGCTGCAAGCTTGCTGAGTCCAAGGCCCAGTCAGCA